CATGCCCTGACTTAGATCAGCCCAGAGGTTGTTTCAGGGTTGGATCTGTGAGTAAGCCACTTCCTGACTTAGATCAGCCCAGAGGTTGTTTCAGGGTTCGATCTGTGAGTTAGCCGTGTCCTGACTTGGATCAGGCTAGAACTTTTTTCGGGGTTTGATAAAATTGATGTGTGTTTTCTTTTCGATAACAATCATGTCCTCTCATTACAGAAGACACCACTGAATCAAAGTCAAGTTGACGAGAAGTCGACACAAACTGACGAAAAGGAAACCCATCCAGACAAGAGAAGGAAGCTGGATAGTGAACTAGAACTTAATAAAGTAACAGAAGTGAGGAAAGAATTAGAGAAACAAGCAAAGGAAAACGCAGAAATTATAAGGAAAAAAGATGAAAGGATTTGTATTCTTCAAGATCATGCAAAGACGCTGGAAGAACACCTTAGTTCTGCCGTTATGAATCTTGAAGGGGAAAGAAACCGTGCAAAACAGCTGAAACAAAAACTAGAAATGATGGAAAAGGAAATAAGTCGTAATAAAAACATTATAGAAATGCCGAACCACGTTATATTGAATGGTTCTGCAAGTAGAGAAAGAGAATTAGAAGTGAACGACAAGATGGTGGCCCCTAGTGATTCGCAAAAAGATTTAGAACGAGAGATAAAAGAGGCTGTGAAGAGAGCAGTGAATAAGGAACGACTAGAAAAAGAACGAGCTATTGAGGACGCTGTTAAAAGAACTAAAAGAGAAAAGGAAAAACAGATTGAAAAATCGCTACAAGTTGTGAGAAATGAAGCAGAGAAGTCCTTGCAGGAAGCTATCCAATTGACCAAACGAAAGCAGTGGTGTGCGTATTGTTCAAAGGAAGCTTTCTATCCGTGTTGCTGGAATACAAGCTACTGTACGGTAGACTGTCAGAAGGCCCACTGGTGTTCTCATCGTTTTCAGTGTATGAGACTAGCATGTAACTGTGGTACAAGAGAATGTGTAAAGTCTTGCTAACCCTTGCTAATGTGTTATCCGACTTTGCGCTTCTCTCTTGTACATTGTTTTACGGCAGTCGTTTTGTAGGGCAAGAACAATACAAGCGTTTTGCATGAATTGTATTTCCCAAAGAAAAAAGTTTCTGTCGTTTTGCCCACAACATGGCTGTCGTGAAACTTCTCTATAGGCTTAGAAAAAAATTATAACATATTCGCGATACGAAAAGCTAGTTTACACTACACAAGTTGCGCGCACTGTTGCTGTGAGGCCATCTATGTTGCGAGGCTGTAACACCATGCAATTGTTGCACGCAATGTTTCTGAAGGAGAAAACGATCTTCCCTCAGCAATGTTGCCTGCAATGTTGCACACTGTATCTTTATCTTGAGTCTGCATCAATTAAGATATTTAATCACAAAGATAAGGAAAATAATAAGTTTCTGTCTTTACTTTGCTAAATTAACTAAGGTCGTATTACTTGTACATAAAATATTTATTTAATACTACGGTGCTTAGTCTCATTAGTCTTTATTAGGCTCAGTTTATACATTGGATATGGAAATGCCAAACCTATTGTTTTAATTCGTTTGCATAAGATTCGGCGCGTGAAATTCGATGTTTGCACTGTGCCTTACACTTTTGCGAGACTGATTTCGGGCGCCGGTTTTATAGCGAAGTGTTGCGCAACTGTGATAAGTGTAAACTAGCAACTTGGTATTGCATTACAGGGCTGAGGCACAGGGTGTAACTGTTGCATGCAGCGTTGAACGCAGGATATTTTAAAGGGATATAACACGTAGCAATCTTCCTGCAACTAAATATGTATTGAGGAACGCTACCCAGTTCTGGGTAACACAGTGAAGTGATTAAATATGATATCACGTGATTGTGGTCATACTAAATATAGCTAAATTTGGTTTGCTAGTAACATCACGCATTTGCGCGAAGAAACGTGTTATACGCAGCATTTGCACCCTGTGTCTGGGCATTAAAACAGTCCCCATCAAACTCACTTAACAGATTCTCCAGGTGATTTACCACGTGTGTGTATACTTACCACAGCCTACCCAGTACATCTTCAATTCAAATCATTAATCGCTATACATTCATTGAGTTAACGCTGACCTCATTAATTTATCAACCACAGATCCTAGTAAATTTGAAAAATATGATTATATATTGTTTAGAAAAAGTGAGAAATGTTGAATGTAAGTTGAAGTAGAAGTTACGCTCATTTTCTTATGAAACTCAATATTTTTTCCTCAAGGTCCATTGAGGTCCCTCTTGGTTCTTCAAAGTCCCTTGTTCCCAGAACCTTAGTTTATTTTAGTCCCTAATGACCCTCTTGGTACCTCAAGGTCTTGGGTCATAATTCCAGTCACCTCCAATGGATGCATTTAAGCAAGAATCAACAGTTTTTAATCTCGTTATGGATACCATGAACACAAAATAGCTAAAAACTGTGGCAGAGTGCTCACACTGGATCTGTAAAACACTGTATTAAGGCATTATACACAACAGTGGGAACCATTCTCTATTGTTGTGCGAATTGCTTCTAAATTGTTTAGTACTGTTTCATGGATTAAGTATGATCACTCTGTCAAAGTCAGAGAACTAGTAACACATGCATCATATACCAATAACTTTAAACCCGTCGCTCTAAAAAGGGGTGTGTTTGCTAAAGACAAGAGTTATTGAATCAATTAGTTATTCTGAGGTTGAGGGGAAACTGGGTCGAGTTGGCGCTGCAGTGCATTGTGGGACTGTTTTAGGGTTCAAAATAGACGCCATTGAAATACGATTTATTGCAGTGCCAACTCGGTACAGTTTTTCCCCCAACCTCTGAATGTCTAAAAGCTTCTCATCTGCAGGGCTACTCTATCAGTACCGGCGCAATCTTTCATCCTGCAGTCCAGTATTATAGAAATGAAGTTAACTAGTTTTAATTTGTTAAGTTCCTTGTTTTATTCAATCAGTTGTGATATCATATCATGTGTTATCATCATAGGTTTCGTATTAAATTTAAATTAATTAAAATTTTCTTGGGTAGCTTTTGTATCGTAGCTGTTTTGGCCTCATTTCACAAGCTTTGTTCCTTTCTTTGTACTTTCTTTCTTTCGTTTCTTAATTTTCCTTTCTTTCTTTCCTCTTTTTCTTTCATTCTTTCCTTCATTCTATTTTACCGCCAATACCTTTGATATTCCTTCACGTCAATCAAGTGCAATTGAGCCTCATTTTCAGTCATTACATAAATCACCATTTTACCATAGTATTTGCATAACGACATCGCTCAGCTGCGAAGAACTAAATGTTGAATGCTCTACACAACAAGCTTCTAAAGCAAACACGCAGGTTAATATGATAGTAGGCGGGAAGTTTAAAAACTGCCTTACAAGCAAGCGTCGCTATATTTTATTAATTTGTCTGGACTGGACAACAAGCGAACTATGCATGTATCCTGCTAAACTCAGGTAATAATTAGGTAATATTTAGTAGCTCTTCTACATGCTTCCCTGCTCTAATAGTTTATTTATTTGCTTACATTCGTCTTGTTTCCTGTTAATTATTGCTTGTTTATTTAGTGATTCGTTGCCTGTTGATTTCTGTCTTCATATTTTTACGACAAACGTTTTGAATTGATCAAACAACAGCCCAGCGCACAGATTATAGAAATAAATAAAGACTCAGACAAATTAAATCTTTTAAAGTTAAAATTAGAATGATGAACTATTTAGATAAAAAATCAATTTCCTAAAATTAAAGTCTTATTAAAAAGATATAAAGAAACGTAATGCACAAAAATGGCTTAGGAGTTGGTTAGCGCTTCAAAGGTCCTTTCACTGGATGTGGACTATCATGAGGTCATCCATGAGAGAGCATCTATTTCATATCCAGACAGGACCTCTTCGTAATCGAAAAGTTATATAATTTTCTCTAAATTTTCTAAATTTTCTAAAATTTTGAAAATGTGATAAAAAGAAACGTAATGGACAAAAATGGCTTAGGAGTTGGTTTGTACTTCAAATGTCCTTTCACTGGATGTGAACTCGACATGAGTGAGTGAGCGACTATATCACATCCAGTGAAAGGACCTTTTTCATAGTCGAAAAGTAGAACAAACAAAAGAAAAGTAGAGAAAAATGAAATAAAAAGAAAGAAACTTACTGCAAGAATCTGATTCAGGGCAATAATAATAATAATAAAATAGATGAAGTAAATTCATTTTTATTTGACGCATATGGATGAGGAAATAATTAGGCGTGCTTCAAAGGTCCTTTCACTGGATGTGAACTATCAAGGGAGCGACTATTTCACATCCAGTGAAAGGGCCTTTTTGATTATCCAAAAAATATATGTTTTGATCAAAGCAGAATAAAATACGAAATGAAAGAAATAAGGAGAAACAAAACACACGAATCAGAGCAATACGAAAAATTAAATAAAATAGATACGAAGGAAAATAATTGACGAATATGGTTAAGGAGTTGATTAGCGATTCGAAGGTCCTTTCACTGGATGTGAACTACATGAGGGAACGAACTCTTTCACATCCAGCGAAAGGACCTTTTTTCATTTCTGGCAGTTGATAAATAAAATAGGATATGTTTGTGTCGTATTATTGCTGGATGTTAATTAAGTAAGTGGAACTGCCGGTCATTTAGTGTTTTGAAATGTATATTCTTTCTAAGAAAAGTTAACAAATTCATGTTAATATACTTTTTAAAAAAATAGAAAATATCATCTGGATGCAATGGGGCTTGAACCCACCTTCAAAAATTTAAAAAAAAAATCGA